GAATTTCACACTTTGGGCACTTTTGCGTAAAATGAAGGCAGTAAAATCCAGACTCAATTATGACTGACTTGAGCTGATTCAACTATGCCTGAAAGCTACTAAAAGTGGAAAAGATCAACAGAAGCACGAGGTTGTAGTTAAGAAGAGTAACTGGGTTTCGATGAATCGCCTAGGCTAACATTTTATGAAATGGATTCACCCAATTTCATTTGAGGTGATGAAGGACTGGTAGAAGAATTTTCACACAATCATATGAATAGAGCTGACGTTTCCATGGAATTTCACATAGCCCTTCTTTTCCAAAAGTTGTTCTCATCCGGACAAAAGTGGACTGCTGTTTCGAGCTCGCATCAGTCTTGGCAACACCCCCAGCGGGAGTCGAACCGTGACGAGGCCGCGTGTGAGCTTGACACGTTAACAATTCGGCCACATTATGTGAATTTCAAGGAAGGCCAGGCCTTTTGTCATGTCACATTCTATGAACCAAACGCATATTTGCCATTGCAATCGACCTCGTTACTTATTTTTCGTATATAAATAGAGTTTACATTGTCAAAAGACCGTGATTTCGTATGACAGGACATGATGGATGAGATTTGTGACTGATTTCTCCGCAAGACCATGGCCCGGTTTCACCCGAGGCAAGGGAGGGTGTCTCGTGGACTGCGTCAGCATGAATGTAGAATTAAAGCCAAACGGTTGCAGAACAACGAAAATCGACAAGGTGAGATAAACAAACGAATCTCTTGATCGTGAACATTCATAGCAAATGGACGTCTTTCCAAAGTTAAAATATATGAATGAAAGGATATAAAGACTGACCTGCCCCTTGTTCTCAAGTAATTTCACCAATGGACTTTGAATCTCCAAATCCAAATCCTCCCGAGACAGAAAAAAGTTCTGAAGAAAAAAAAGCAAGAATAAGTTGTAAACATTCATCATTCTGAGCCAAATTTAAAAAAATCGCCAAAAAAACATGACTTCATGTAAATTTACGGCGATTGCGTTTAGATAAACTATATTTGCTTTAAGGATTTCCACCATAGGCAGCGATCAAGCTTAGCCCTTACGAAAAATAAGCTGTTCATCAACAATTCGTAAAGTAGGCGACCTTTTAAGGGAGACGCTTCTTGGCATTTCAGTAGTGTCGCACTTCCACTGAAGATGTAAGTCTAGAGTCCCGGCATACTCGACAGTTATATCTACTCTACAAGTCGATTACGCTCTGATTACATGCTGAGGTTTGTCTCCATAAGCCTGATATGAATGTTAATATTGTCGGGGATAGGATAATTGAAGAGACTTCCTGAATAGAGACAACAGGACAAAAATAAAGATCCAGACAGCGTCCAAAGACAAAAATGACGGAGAAAACAGAATACAAGTTTGAAAGAGGTAGCATAATAAAAGGTAAAAAAGTAAAGGTATACATTTGAATAAGGAGAAGGAAGATAGAATGAAAGAAACAAAGGTAGAGTAGGATAAAAAAGAAAGAGAGGAAGGAAATCTGAAAACAAAAATAGAAGGAGAAAGAGTAAAGATTGGGGAAAAAGGAGTGAAGATGGTAGATGATGAAATAAGGATAAAACGATGGATGAAAGGAAAAGAGGATAGGAATGAAAGAAAAGATGAAGGAAAGTAGGAAAGAAGAAATGAGGGAAGAGAAAGAATGAATGGAGGAAGGAAGTAAAGGGAAAGGAAAGAGTTAATGAGGAAAGGGAAGGAAGAAGAGAAAGAAGGAAAGAAGGCGGCGCGGGTAGTGAGGTAAACAGTGAAGGTCTAGACCAACCAAAAGGTCTCCGGGATGAACAAATCCCAGAATCCCATCTCTATGTGCAGGGTCGCTTTCCGCCACCGGAAGGCATGGCAACACAGGCAGCCAGTGAATGACCTTTCGCATGGCCTCAGCGCAGCTCGTCTTGGCGGTCAGGATGGGCCATTCCGCCCGTTTTGCTGCTGACTCCGCAAGGTAGGCCTCATCCTCTGAATTGGCAGGATTCGGCTTTGAAGATGGCCAATCAAGCAAGAGTAAGGAAAAATGAGCAAAAAACGAAAGCATTTATTTTTCAAATTAACTATTGTTTTCATGACTACCAGTAGCCCTCGCGCTCCAACTGTTTACCTAATAGCTTTACTTGCTGAAAGCTATTCTAATTCTTTATTTTCCGAAAAGAGCATTGTTTTCGTGACTACCAGTAAATCAGTAGTATGAGACTGGTAGAAGAAGAATTTTCCCGCAATCATATGAGTTTAGCTGACGTTTACATTCAATTTCACATTGCCTTGCTTTCCCAAAAGATGTTCTCCTCCTTAAACGAAATTGGGTGAATAAATCTTATATTGAGAATATACTTTAGTTTTTAAATTAACTATTGTTTTCGTATCTACCAGTAAATCAGTAGTATGAGATGTATTCACCCAATTTCGTTTAAGGAGGAGAACAACTTTTGAAAAAGCAAGGCTATGTG